TTTTCGGCACCAACATCTTGGTCCTTCGAGCCGGATCTCAACGGGTGACGTGCGGGACGACGCCTCTGAAGTCTGTGCACAGCAATTCAAGTCCACCTTTCACCGTGGCCAGTTAATGTCCTCCATCGCCCTTCACTGAATCCAACGGGATCCGAGGCAGCGCAGGCAAGAAGCAGGAAAGAACCACGGTGCTCAGCACCACAGGTCAGTGGGAAAAGGTTTCCTTCTGACAAATACTAACACTAGGAATGAATCTGAGAGCGATTGGAGAGTAACTAAGTGGAAGTCTAAAATTATTTGTGGTTCTGAGGTATACTCCCAGACTGTGACCGTGTCTAGTCCTATACTGGCCATAGAAGCTTGTCACGGTGGAACCCGCTGAAGCCCGATAGAGGCATTCTTCCTACACTTGTTCTCTCACTAACTGCATAGTTAATATAAACAATGGGAAATTGTCGTAGTTATTACTGTGGGGGGAAGAAAGAGGAAGAATTAGAGTGGGATGGTAAATTCATAGACAGATATCATCCGGGGTCAGCAAAATATTTAACTAAATGGAAAAAGAAGTACCAGTTTGAAGGAAGATTACAAGTAAAATCATGTGAAGATTTAGTCTTCAAATTAACTCTAAAGGTGAGAGTAAAAGGAAGGAAGGAGGTGATGAACAAGAAATGGCCAAAAAGTGGTTGGAACAAGCAAAGAAAAGACTAGAAGGTGCTAACAAAAAGAAACCCAAAATTGAAGAAGGACTGAATTGGCAAAAAGATGACGATAATTACAGTGTGTTCCTGTGCGACGCACTCAGCCTGCAGCGGAACTGCAGTTACAGATAGAGCAAAATCAAATACCACAGGTTGTATGAGGAGTCTCAGTAATAAATCCACCCTGGTGACTGGTGGCATTTTTCTCTGGCAAATTAGACTCTGTTACACAGGGACTACCACCATGTGTACAGGCAGTAGTGGCAGCAGCACAAGCAGTACATGCAGCAGCAGAAGTACACTAAAAGTACCTCACGCAGTAGTGACACTCATATTACAAACAAAAATGTCTTTTTTTTCACCAGCAAGACATTTACATTGCATGGCTACTCTGTTATCACAGCCACATATAAAAATAGAGAGATGTACAACACTTAATCCTGCTACACTACTACCAACTCCTGAGGACGGAGAACCTCATGATTGCTTAGCAGAATCAGAGAAAATGCATAAACCAAAAACAGATTTGACAGACGTGCCACTAAAAAATGGAAACGCATTGTGTGTTGATGGATCAGCTCAGAAAAAATAGCATGGGACAAAACTGTGCAGGTTATGCAGTAGTAACGCAGACTGAAACCTTGAAAACAAGCAAATTACCATCAAATTATAGTGCTCAGGCCGCAGAAATAGTGGCGTTAACAGAAGCATTGAAATTATCAAAAGGAAAAGACGTTACCATTTTTACTGATAGCCAATATGCATATGGTGCAGTACATATCTTCGCCCAGTTGTGGAAAAATAGAGGTTTTTTTAACACAAGATATTGATACATGCGACACACAGATTCAATACACAAGTTGTATTGAAAATACGACAAGAACAGACATCTAATACTGAAAAGCGTTATTGGATGGCCAAAGAAGCAAAACTAGAAAATGGCATTTTTATAGGGACAAATGGAAAACCATGGTTACCTAAGTCATTATTCAAATGGGCTGCAGTTATGACACATGGGCCATGCCATGTTTCAATGTGTGTAACATTTGAAAAAAAATTGATTGAAAGAAAAGACATAGAGACAGAGAGAGTGGGAGCGAGAGAGAGAGAGAAAGATAAAGAGAGAGAGCAGTATCCACTATTACAGACATGTTTTCCCTATTTCTGTATTGCTCCTCTTTATTGGAACGCAAAAAGGAAGCTGCAGCCTTTTACCACACACCCACACTGGTTCTATCAGAGGCTTGGCCTATGGATGGGGCCTTTCCATGTTGACTTGTATCTGACCAGTGATTTACAGTGAGGTTGTAGAGGATTTAGGCTAGATTTATTTATTTTTTCTCATTCTAGCCTCTTTCTTTCCTGGGTCTCTTTCTTTCCTACTTCAGTATGAGTTTTGGCCCTCACCTCAGAGTATCTCCTCTGCCAGGCTTCCAGTATAGCTGCAGCCTTTTCTTCATTCCAGATGATGTGGGAAACCTCTTCATAGCCCCGAAAGTGCTCAAACATCTGCTTGGGAGTCATTAGCTGGAACATGGTCTGCAAGGCCTGGGCACTGGAAAGAAGAAAAGAAGGGAGGATGGCAGAAAGAGAGTGGAGGATAAGTTGGAAAGAATATCATGTCACTGGGGTGCAAGTCTTCATTGACCACATCAAGTTTGCCTGGGAAAGTCCAGAAGGATCACCAAACCAACAGAGAAAGCAGGGAAAATGGTGTAATACTAGGAATTTAAGATCCAAAACAGGGCCAGAGCCTCAACATTTACCTAATTTCAGAAATCGCTAAACTAAGAGGCTTCTAATTTAACTAGTGACGAAAGATGGGGGTTGGAGGTGTTAGATTTCAGTGGTTTTCACATTTGGTTGGGTCTGCAGCAGGAAGCTGCTAAGACACCAAAATGCTTTCCCGAGCACACAGTCACATAGCCCCACACATTCAAAGAGAATTTCCCCAAATTCTCTTCACACCAACTTTCTAAAACACCTCTACTCCCTGGGAACAATGGGAGATCTCCCAATCTACCTTCTCACAGGGAACCCCAGAGCCATCCATTCCTTTTGATCTACATGACCACCTGTGGTTGACTGGACTTTATGGCTCGGTCCACTTCCCTTGTGATAACCCCCCACTGAGCTTCCAACACTGCTAAATCATGGAACAAGAGTGCCACATAGTGGCGACTGCAGGCATCACATGATAACAAGAACAATAATATGATTGGCCACAAGAGGCCTAGCCTCTCTCTTCCATTGGCCTACAAGATTTAAACACACACCCAGGAAGTCGAAAACCACTCCCCCCATACAGGTATATAAGCATAAACAACTAACGATACTTTAGAAGTTATTCTTGAGAAGTCTTGAGAAGTCAGAAGTTATTCTTGACAGGATTTGCATATTAACTACTGTTGTACGAGATTTCCTTGAATACTTCTCCAGTCGTTTATTTTGCTTTATTGTTGGACCTGTTTTGTTTGACGTTTGTTATCAAAACAAATCGACCATCTACCGGCTGCTTCCAGTCCTTGCCTGAAGACACCTCGCACAGCAAGAATCTTTCAAGAGGTAATAAAGACCAACAGCATCTGTTGAACGTAGCGTTGCACACAGTCATGAAACATACTCCCGCAAACTATGGCAAGACATGATTTTCATATGTGGTAGAAAATAACACCTGTTTATGCTTGTGATAAAACGTTTGCCAAGTCTATAAAATATTATTGCAAACTGATACAGAGAGATCCTACATTATGGATTCTGACAACAACAAGTAAAGCTCACAATCATATTTGCTTGCTTATGTAGGAATTCACTGTGTTTAGGGTATAATTGCTAAGTCTTAAATTATTGCGAGTCTTAAAGAGGGACAAAAAACAGCAGACGTTAGCTTGTAGTGCTCTCTATATGTCTTTTTCTCTCACACACAATTACACACATGCACTAATGACCCTGATCTTGCCAGGAAAATTCACATTGCATGTATGCGTGTAAACCTTTAAAATGTTAAATAATCTTAATCAGTTAACTGTGCAAGCATTATTTATTAAAAAAAATGCTATGCCAAAAGTTTTTTTTTATCTGATCTTAGAGACAACACTAAATCTTTATTTATCAGTCTACTACATTATCAGTAGCAAGAAAGGAGGCCTCAACCAGTCCTGACCTACGACAGTTTAAATGGTACAAATTTACCGGAGTGCAATAAGAGAAGTAAGATGAATGTAAATAATTACAATTGTTAGGAAAGTTTCAGAAAGTGACAGACATTTACTTAAGGCATGAAATCTCCTGTGCTTATCTGGTGACAAGCTCAGGATAGAAAACTTAAGTCCCTGTGGTGGGAACTCAACTATCAAATTTTTCCAGCAATCACATTCTCTGCTTCTTAAACAAAACCTTTGACATGCCTAACACTGCCTATATTTTTCTTTTTGTTTGAGAAAAAATACAAACTGTTCACAGGCAATGACCTCACTGGAAAATAAATAAAATTTAATTATTTTATTTATTTTCGGTAACTGACTGTATATTTTTGTGTTCTTTTCTGCAGCATATCAAGGCTTTGGGGTTGATTAAGCTGCATATGTTGAACAGCCAATGATTATACAATAGAGCAGGCGTGGGCAAACTAAGGCCTGGGGGCTGGATGCGGCCCGTTCAGCTTTGTAATCCGACCCATCAATCTTTTCCAAATTATATAATTTATATCTTATTATTATTACCATTATACTTCTGCCTTTTCCCTGCAATACCCACGTTTCCCCAATAGATGGCTAGAAAAAGATAAAAGCATTTTAGCATTTTAGCCTTTATGCATGACTTTTACATGTCATTTATCTTAGTGCATTGCTCCATCTATCTGCTCCTAACTGGGGCCTCATGTTTAATTTTAGGACAATTGTGGCCTGCGACACAAAAAGTTTGCCCATGCCTGCAATAAGAGTCTCTGAGTTTTATCTTGTTGCTTTTGTTGTAATTTAAACTATGTATCTCAAATCACTAGGGAACACTTAAACAACACAATGTAATTCCAAGTCAATCACACTTTTGTGAAATCAAAATGTCCACTTGGGAAGCAACACTGATTGACAATAAATTTCACATGCTGTTGTGCAAATGGAATAGACAACAGGTGGAAATTATAGGAAATTAGCAAGAGCCCCCCTTCCAGCAGGAAGGTTTAGGGGGGTTGGTACGGTGCAATGTGATGTGGGTGGCGACTGCTGCCCCTGCGACCCGGTAACAGATAAGCAGATGAAAATGGATGGATGGATGGATAGATGGATAGCAAGAGACCCCCAATAAAGGAGTGATTCTGCAGGTGGTGACCACAGATCACTTTTCAGTTCCTATGCTTCTGGCTGATGTTTTGGTCACTTTTGAATGCTGGCGGTGCTTTCACTCTAGTAGCATGAGGCGGAGTCTACAACCAACACAAGTGGCTCATGTAGTGCAGCTTATCCAGGATGGCACATCCATGTGAGCTGTGGCAAGAAGGTTTCCTGTGTCTGTCAGCGTAGTGTCCAGAACATGGAGGCGCTACCTGAAGACAGGCCAGTACATCAGGAGACGTGATATGGAGAGATGCCATGGAGAATGTTCTGCTGCTTGCAATATCCTCCAGCATGACTTGGAAGTGGGTCAGTAATGGTGTGGGGTGGCATTTCTTTGGGGTGCCACAAAGCCCCCCATGTGCTCGCCAGAGGTAGCCTGAGTGCCATTAGGTACTGAGATGAGATCCTCAGACCCCTTGTGAGACCATATGCTGGTGCGGTTGGCCCTGGGTTCCAGCTAATGCGAGACAATGCTAGACGTAGGCATTGATGCTATGGACTGGCCTGCCTGTTCCCCAGAACTGAATCCAATTAAGCACATCTGTGACATCATGTTTCGCTCCATCCACCAATGCCACGTTGCACCACAGACTGTCCAGGAGTTGGCGGATACTTTAGTCCAGGTCTGGGATGAGATCCCTCAGGAGACCATCTGAGTGTGACTCTGAATCAGGACCTCCATGGGTTAATACATTTTGATGATTTTCATTGATCATTTTTGTCAGCACATTCAACTATGTAAAGAACAAAGTATTTAATAAGGATATTTCATTCATTCAGATCTAGGATGTGTTATTTTAGTGTTCCCTTTATTTTTTTGAGCAGTATATCTGGACTACCTTGCCAGCCTATAGTATACTTTGTGTATGAGTGGGCACTGTCCAAGTGGAGCAGCCAAAGCTAAGTAGGAGCAGCTGGAGCTCTAAAATTTCATTGGAATCTGCTAATGACTATAAGATTTATAGCACAACGCGTGTACACACTCATAAACATGTTGCTGCACTGAGCATAAAAACAAGTGGGGAAATATAAGAGGTGCAGTGATTGCAGCAGTGTTTATTGGGGTAGGTGTGTATTAGTGTGGGTATGTTACCTGAGCAGGGGTCCCCTGCCATTCTTGACGGTCCCTCCTACAATCAGTTCTTCTTGCCAGTGCATGTACTTCCTGGACAGACCATAGCAACCGCCAGTCAAGCGTGAGCAACGTCGAATGACTGGTGAAGAAAAAGAAAAAGATTTGTGAGGTAAAAACAGACTGCAGAAGAAAATGTAGATGTTAAATACATACACCAGGGTAGAAGTGAAAACTCTATAAACACAAGGTACACATGTAAATCTGTACACTATCTGTAAGCTATCTCGTAGCCACAAGATAGCTTACCTGGACAAACTATGTTATTGTTAAGGGATTTTAAGAATAGTTACCTTTGTTTTTTAGTTGTTTAGTTCATTGCCTTAGTTTAGGAAATTTCTTGAATTCTTTTCAAATTTCGGGCTACATTGTAAATGATGACTTTTGATGTTTGGTTTTAGCTGTCATTTGGCTAATTGTTGGTTTCAAGTTTTTTTTCTGCTGCTTTTGGCCAATTATTAGCAGTATTAAGCTTACTATTAGCATTTCATTACCTTTATTTACAGAGCCGATGTTATCAACTTTTGAAAAAGAATGACTTATGTCTTACCCATATTTAATATATCTGAACATTTTTATAGCTTAGCTAGTTAAGGAGTGTAGCCATTTGATATAACTAGCCATAGATAAAAGCTAGCTTTTAACAGCAAATCTTAATGTATTACTTACCAAAATGTAACAATTCTTTATTCTTTCAAGTCTTTATGTTTCATTTATGTTTAAACTACAATTAACTAACGTTTAACACTGGAGTTGTTTTTTTTTTGTCCGATTTTCATTTTCTTCTTTGCTTTTTATAAAATTAGTTTATTTATCATCTTATCATCTTAAATTATTTTTTCCTTCACTGGTCTACAGTAAACAGATGTATCACAAACACAGAGCAATATAGCAACAGACATGGTGTAAAAACCATGATTTCCCAACTGGCTTTAACATACATTTCAAACACATAAAAACCTTAAACTTATACTACCTTGGTAGAGTTCTTATTGGGTGCTGTGATGGGGCAGTTAGGGTCAGCAGGGTTCAAACAGGGTCTATTCATGTAGCCGTGCCCCACGTCTGCCTTTTCCAACATGTCCTCAAAGGCTTCCACAGGGAAATTTGCCTTACGTAAGTCTTCAAGAAAATCCTTGGGGTCAAAGTTTGTCCACTGAAGAGGGTCTTTACCTCTGCAAAGATAATATTTTAATTTAATTTTAACATATTTCTAAATGCTTTCAATTCAACACAAAAGAGTTAGCATAAAAGTACCGTAATTTCTGGACTATAAGCTGCTACTTTTCACACACATTAAACCCTGTGGCTTAAACAATGATGCGGCTAATTTATGGATTTTTACGGGCTTACGAAGTTCATACCGCTAGTGATCAATGACTTTTCTGGTAGGCTTGGGTCTGGAAGGCTTCAGGTTCGAGTCCACCTGCTGCCAAGTTACCACTGAGGTGCTCTGAGCATGCCACTGTCCCCTCACACTGCTCCCCAGGTGCTTAAAGCTGCCCACTGTTCACTTTGGTGATGGGTTAAAAGCAGAGGTCACATTTTGTTGTGTGCAGCTGTGTGCACAATGACAGTAGTTCTTTCCTTTCATTTTTCCTATATGTGCATGGGGCAAGCACAAGAGAGAACACTAGCGAAAGTTGAGTTCAGCTTGAGTCCGGTCATGTTGAATCGTGAGTTGGAGGAGCTGTTAAAACGCTGTTTACGTACTGCTCAGTGTGGCTGATAATAAAGACCCCAACTTCCCTGTTTTTGTTTACCTTTGCTGCGGACAAGCAAAAAATGAAGGGAGTTAGCCCCGGAGCTAATGTTAGGTTCGGCCCTGGTGCAGATCACTAAGTCTCCCCTGTGCATTCCAAATACGGTCGGTGCACCGAAGCAGGGAAGAACTAACGTGTAACCAGCTGTGTTACAGGCACAGTTCGGAAAAAAACATTTATTTATGTCTTGAACACAAATATCTGTTATTAATCCAGCTTCATAAAATAATCTAAATCCCACAGGATACCAGATTCCTTAGATGCCAGTTGACAAACAATGAGCAGTGAGAAGACATAATGTGTTCAACTTCTGGAAGTTGAACATAATCTTTCTAGTTGAGTGACAAACGCAATATAATGGAGACCAATTCCCATCAAGCAATGGCCTACTGCTTAATTCCTGCCCCGAACAAGTTATTTTTTCTTCTACAATTTCTGTTCTATTCTATCTCTTGCTCTCTCTCTTTCTCTCAATCCTTCTCTCTCTCTCTCAGACACTGTCATTCCCTCAATCTCCTTCTTTCTCTCATTCGGACCACATTGTACATGCTTAACCAGGCTTGGGTTATTAGTCCCTTTACCAGAGCAAAGGATGAAAAATCCAAGATGAAACACTAACGGTTCTTAAAAAATGCATGCATGCATTTGCAATGATGACAATGGCACACGGTGTGTGCATGTACACACAGAGGAACGATGCAGGTCTGCTGAGTATTACTGTAGCAGCAGGCCATTAGCAACAGAAGGGCCCAGGGCTAGAGAGAAACGATCGCTAGTGATACGCATGCCAGCAACCACTACAATAGAGCCTTCAGAGGAGACAAGTTTGAGAGATGCAGACACACACACACATGCGCACAGACACAAAGCATGTTTGGGCAGCCTTTCCTATAAGGGTAAAGAGATAGAATTCCACTCTTTCTAGTTCTCATGCACTCCATCATAGAAAACATCTCGACATGGTGGACGTGTGGTTGAAAAGGATTCTACTGGACCTTTTAATTAACATTCATTTACTGTCAGGTTAAACTTTGTGGAAAGCTCAGACTGTGCCAAATTGTATTTTTGGGCCAAATGATTATGTTGAAGGATGAAGCTTTGGGGGAGATGAAAAGGATAAAATACTGGACGGACACTGGATGATGTTATCTTATACTGCTCTTAAGTTTTATAATATAAAAGGAGTCCAACATACGGGAGGTAGACCATTCCAGACTGGAGCTTGGCTCCTTCCCAGAAACAGTCCAAAGGGGTGATGATGAGGCAGGGGTGTAGCTTTTCTATGATCTAATTGGATATTAATTCAAATGAACACAGTAACAAATGCACGATCAAAAGAACTGTAGAAATCTGATTGTAGCAGATGGATTACAGGTCTTTTTTTTCTTTTTCAATTTTCTTTGCATCTTACCTGATCCATAAAAGGAATTTCTGTGACTAATTCTCCTGATTTGTAGCATAAATGCTCTAATTTCCAATGTCTGTAAAGAAAAGAAACACTTCTAATTAGTCATGCATGAACATCCACTGTGCTGACTGCATAATTGTAAAATAATGCAGTGCCTATGTATGTTACTGTTACCAATGAAGTAAAACTGTATATGTAAAATTAGCGCTAAGAAATGGACAAGAAAAACAGAGAATAGGCAGTTATGTCGACATCACCTGTTATAAAGGTAAACATGAACTCTGCTGGCTTGGAGAGCTGACTCTAGATGCTGCACTAACGCCTCCACTGTTAGTACGTTTGCTCCTTCCTCCCGCGGTGTCTGGATCATCAGCTGAGGGTTAAACATGGCCTCTTCACCGATCTTCTGCCGTGTGTACTTAAGTTCCTGGTTCACACGTCCGCCAACTGACAGAAACAAAAAAAAAAGAAGATGGTTAAAACAAGTGCAACATTTTAATCATCTGATTAGTAAAGAACTAGCTTAAGATGTCTTTGAGTAATTAATAAATATCTCTCTCTCTCTCTCTCTCAGTGACTGCACGTTCAGAATACTACATTGTCCAAAAACACAAATTCTTCCCTACCTGCCGACTATGTGAAAAATCTGGAGTGTATTATTATATCCTAATCAAATTTCACAATTCTGTTGGATTCATGCAGCCGCAGGAAGAGATTGTATATATTCCGCTGGTTGTAATGGCATTAAAGTTGACATAAGCATGCCTTTCTGCTGGGCCCGACCACCCAGTCAGACCAATGGAACAGGGAAGGAGGGGGCCATGTCTCGGGGCATTGAAGAAAACACACTTGATTTATTTTTTTCTGGACCCAAACAGCATGACCATCTGATCCTGTCTGAAATCATTTTTATAATATTCATCATTAATAACAGGCCATGGCTAACTGAAGTGACATGCTCTCCACTGCAGGACCAGGAACACAGCTACATGACACCACCCCTCGCTTTAAAACATGCATCACGCATGGAACTGATTTAGGGCTGGCGCACTCTGACAATGCACTAACAAGTCAACTTGTCTGGTAGAGTCAGCTCTCAAAGGCAAGGCTTTCCGGAGGTTGACTTTCAAGGCAATTTTACCTTCATTAATTTAAAAAAGGAGAAAGTAATTTTGTTCTTCATATAGAGAGATGAAGAAACATTTTGTTTCTCAGCTTTCTCCATGCAATAGAAATAAAGATTGCCCTTCAAATACCACCAGTTTACAGTGAGGACTTGAAGTCAAAGGAATGTACTCTCCCTGTAAAGGAAACAGCACATTATGGTGTCAGGCTTCGAGAATTCCAAACTTCACAAGGTTACAATGTTTTGGGGTTAACACTCGCACAGCCTTGGGGCAAAATTAACACCCAGCTGGACCAAGAAAATATGTGCGAGTGCATGCTTGTGTATTCACTGGCGTACATGCAAGCCTGAGCCACCCTGTGCAGTGTGGTGTGTGTGTGTACACAGCTGTGTTTCCTCAGTGACACATATTCCCATATTCCTTCTGCTCAGAAAACTGGCTGACCCAGGCATGTGTTGTTATGGTGATGGTGTCCTGCTCCAGGTTCAGCTGCTGAGACCTAAAACCAAGTGTCACTGACTTTAAAACTCTCCCCACACAGCTCTCTTCTCTCGCAAATGCACTTCTCATTACCTTAATATACCCACCACTGGGAACTAGAGACAAATGTAAGGAAAATATCACTAATATGTTTATTATACTACTTCAGTGTTCTTCTACAAAGATAGAGCCTTGTTATCCACCTTTGAATCCCCCATTATAAACAAGTATTAACATCCATCGTATATGGACTGCTGCTATTTAGACCTGGCGGTAACCTGGATTGACCCTGAGACCACATTAGAGTGGAATGGAAGTCATCGCTCTTACATTTGAAAGATTCTTGCTATATTTCAATCTGGGTCACGGCACCAGTTGAAAGATTATTGGTATAATCAATCTGGTTCATGGCCCAGTTGAACAATTTGGCCCTTCTTCGTTTGTGAGCACGACACCAATTAGAAGATTTCTTCTCCCCGTATTCACAGCACCAAAATTGAAGAAATCATCTCGAAGGTGGTCTCGGGCAAGGAATGAAACAGCCAATAGATGGTCAATTAATTTAATAACAAAACAAACAGGTCCAACGAGCAAAATAAAACAACTGGAGAAGTATTCTAGGAAATCTCTTACAACAGTTGTTATAACGCAAATCCAAGAACTGAAACTTCCAATAATAACTTCAAATGCATTATCAGTGATGTAGACTTTTATACCTGTGTGGGGGGAGTGGTTTTTGACTTCCTGGGTGTCTGTTTTAAATGTGGTAGACCAATGGAGGAAAGAGGTTGTCCCTCTTGTGGACAATCTTATTAGCATGGTTGTGCCTACAGTCACCACTATGTGACGTTGCTGCTCCATGATTCAGCAGTGTTGGAGGACATGTTTATGAACCTTTTGCCACTGAGCAAGGTGTTATTTAAAAAGGAAGTGGATGGTGCGGCCAACAACAGGGGGTTATGTGGAGTGGATGGATCCCGGGTTTCTTATAAGGATGCGGATTGGGAAACTTCCTATTGTTCCCCAGGAGTAGAGGTGTTTTGGAAACGGATTGGGAAACTTCCTATTGTTCCCCGGGAGTAGAGGTGTTTTGAAGTCATCTAGATAGTTGGTGTGAAGAGAATTTAGGAGAACTTCTCTTTGAATGTGTAGGGCTATGTGAGTGTGTGTGCTTGGGAAGGCCTTTGGTGTCTTAGCAGATTCCTGCTTTCAGAATCAAACCAAATTTGAAAACCACTGAAATCTAACACATTCCAACATTAACAACAGGAAGTTGTTGGTAGTTGTTTTGAAAATAAACGCTCATCACTGTACCTTGACATCTACAAATACCAGACCTTAGTTCCAAAGAGTTAGTCTTACTATACATTCAAACTGCAGGCAAAAAAGTGCCCACATCAAATTTTTTGTCTATATCTAATTGTTTTTCTTATAAGTGAGAAGTGACGGTTTTCTATATAGTATTGTTAGTTTAGTTTATATGGACATTTAAACATAGTTACAAATGATTAAGAAGACAATAAAGACTGGGTAAAGGGTAGAAAAAGGCCAATGAGTGTCACTGTAGGGCCCTTAGTGTGGGTATTCAGCCTGTTGCATAACATTAACCCCAGCCCCCCGTATTATCAGAGTAGAAGAATGGGAGGTGGTGGGATGAAGGGAGAGAAAGTAAATTTCTAAAAAACTAATCAGCTCTACGCTTTGATTGGCCAGATGATGATGGCAATCAGTTTGGCCTTCCTGTCAGGCGGGCCTACTCCTCAACTCTCTACACCAACTTTCGATCTTTTCTATTCCACCACAGTGCAGTGCCATCCCCCTGCACATACCTCACGCCTGGTAACAGAAGTATCACACACACTAATGATAATACCATGGAAAATAACAGTAAATCAGAAAGTATGCACCTATACCGTGTATATGCTGTAAACAAATTTACATCTGTTTTACATATAAAATAATTATTTGATCAGATATACATCAGGATGAAGACCTGAGATAGATTTCTACTGAAATATAGTTCAATCAAAAATCAAGAATGTACTTACAGGTCCATTTGAATATCAAAATAAAATATGAATAACATATGAGAGTGCATGTAAACACGTGTGTGAGTATGCAGACAACAGATTAGCTGGATTAGGCCCCCTCTCAGCTGAGACCCCTGTGCAGAGAAGGAACCCTAGAACCAGGTCATCTCCCTGTTTTTCAAATTGTAATATCATGCATTCATGTGAAGAAAACTTAAGAACATGTTCATATTAGATACATGCTCTATATTTCAGGGTGAAACACAGACAAGTTAGAAATATGTCTCAATACAATCTTATAGCCCTCACCCTTCACACTTGAACTTCTATGCAGATTTATCTGCGTCATGTCATTTAAGGTACCTCCATTAAATGGTATGTGGGCTGGGGAATGTCTTTTTGACAGCAGTTTACATTCATTTTTTAAATACGAAGAGTCAAATGCAATCTCAGTTTTTATTTGGTATGTCAATGTCCACACAGCTTAGCATCTTAACAACTCACCACCTCTTACATTGTCTGTGTCTTTAGTGAACTGTATTTTTCGGACCATAAGGCGTACCGCATTATAGGGCGCACTATCAATGAACGGGAATATTTTCATACATAGGGCGCACCGGGTTATAAGGCGCATTGAGCAAAACAAAACGAAACAGTCAGCGAAACAATTATGCGGAACAATCAAGCATGTCCGGATCCCTCTCGTCATTATCCGAGTCAGTCTCGTTGCTGTTAATTAGTTGTTCAGTGATGATTCCGGCCTTCGTGAAAGCTCGAACGACATTTGAGACTGATATCTTAGCCCAGGCATCCACGATCCATTGGCGTAACTCGCCCGACGTTGCCTCCCTGTCTTGGTGAATGTGTGTTCGCTTTCTGTTATTCAATGCTCCCACGCAGCTCGCAATATAATTTTGAACGCCCAGTTAACACCAATATTTAGTGGTTGGAATTCTGTGGTTAATCCATCCGGAATGATGGCTAGCCCCGAATTAGTTTGCTTCACTTGGGTTTTGATAATATCGGTGAAATGGGTGTGCATGGAGTCGCAGATTAATATGTACCGAGATTTGTGGAGAAGGGTAGTGACCTAAATTGGACACTGGAGGACGCTGTTGTTGTTGTTCGCCCCTCCATAGTCAGGCGGTTGTCACTATTTTTGTTCTGGATGGTCACCGTCAGTTAACACCAATATTTAGTGGTTGGAATTCTGTGGTTAATCCATCCGGAATGATGGCTAGCCCCGAATTAGTTTGCTTCACTTGGGTTTTGATAATATCGGTGAAATGGGTGTGCATGGAGTCGCAGATTAATATGTACCGAGATTTGTGGAGAAGGGTAGTGACCTAAATTGGACACTGGAGGACGCTGTTGTTGTTGTTCGCCCCTCCATAGTCAGGCGGTTGTCACTATTTTTGTTCTGGGTCAACCGTAAAGTTGTTTTGCAGAGAGAGTGTGTGTTTTGCCTGTATCGATAAAAAATGAGAAATAAAAAGGATTTTTGACCACTAAAAAATCGACAGCCATGCGTCTGAGTCGTCCTGCATCGACAATATGCAGAGTCTCCGGGTGTTGGGAGCAGAGGTGGGTAGAGTAGCCATAAATTGTACTTAAGTAAACCTATAGTTACTTCAGAAAAATATTACTCAAGTGGAGGTAAAAAGTAGTCATCCAAATAATTACTTTAGTAAGAGTAAAAACGTACATGGTGAAAAATTACAAGTACTAACTGTTGAGTAACATTTATTTTTTTAGATTTATCTTTAACGTGCATTCAATCAGATAAACAAAATTACAGAGGAGAGTTTAT